ACTAGGACTTTCTCTACCCACCACATCTCCCCACTCCTGAAGTAGCTACACTGGCTCCGGTTAAATTTCGCATCCATTTTAAAATAATCCTTTATACATTTAAGGCTATTCCTTCTCTCTCTCCGATTTAGTACAGATGAACTTCCCATCCCGGTGCCTCAGATCTTCATCTTCTCTTTCTCTCTCTGTTTCTTCCGCTCATCTGATTACAATGGGGGCGGGGCTTTTAGTTGTTCTGCCCCTCGACTTTGGAATTTCTTACCCCCTGACCTCAGTAATAGTAGTTCATTCCCTCTTTTTAAGTCCACCCTCAAAACGCATCTGTTTAAAATTGCTTATGTTTAAACCTCTGTATGCTCTTAACTTTTATCTGTTATTCTTATTATTGTGTATATTTCCAGTTTTTGTGTTTTTATTTGTTGTACAGTATCCTTGGGTGCTTTGAAAGGCGCTATTTTTAAATAAAATGTATTATTATTATTATTATTATTATTATTTTTACCATAATTTATTTTATGGTATGGTATACCATATATTTTATGTTTTGAGAGAGATTATCCAAAGTTTGTATTCACACAACTTGTGTACAAAAGGACAAATGAGAAATAGAAAAAAAAAATCTGGAGAAATACTTACTGGTGGAGGCTGATATGTGAGCCGTTGCTGAAAAGAAAAACATACACTCATAAGTACTTCCAATAAACATTGCTGCCCAGGACAATGAAACAAAACAGGAATTTATAAGTCAGATCATTCTATTACTGAGAAAAGCGACGGTGTAATAACTTTATGTCTCATCCCACAAGTATGAAAACAAAGATGATTGAACATCTATGTGAGGAGTGCTAACACTTGCCTATTGAAGTTATATTTTCTACCTTAATCTCTGAGCGCAGTGCCCTCCTGTCCTTCTCTCCTGAAAGTTTGAACATCTCCCAGAGCTGCTTGTACTGGAAATACCTGCAGATATAAGAAAACCCAGTGAGCAAACATGTAACCATCACATCAATGTGAACCTGATCGGTATGATTCTTCCAGACTGCTGCTGTATTAAGGAAGTACAAACAGAATGTTACAGAACTGTTATACAACATGAGGATAATCAATTAAAATTACTGTCCTTTATTTGGCATAATTACTGTCTAACTTACACTAACACAAGTTATAGGAAGTACTGAAGTGCTGTATGGAAGCATTAAGGTGCTGCACATGAGTCTTCTAATGGAAAAGAAATCATTAAGAAACCTATCAGGAGCCTCTAGAATCATAATTCCACATTATTTCAGGTGTGAGTCTCAAACAGAAGTGGCAATCCTTTTCATTTATAAACCACTGCATTTTGTAACTTACTTGGCTACTGGGTCAGTCTTCTTTATGGTCTGTTGACTCATCACTGGCCGGATGACTGAAATGAAAGTCTATGTGAGAAATTATCGGAAGTTCAGAGAAAGCAAAATCTTTATATTGTGCTTTATTGCCAGCTTACAGGACTTTGGTTTGGGCCTTATATCACCATCACTCTTAGTTCGAGTCTGCTTCCACCATAAAGAAAGACAAACAGAAGAAAAAAACAAGATATTACATCTTCAACTGTTATTAACAGAAGAAAATGTGTTAGTTTTATTAATATAATATAGCTATAGATATAATATTGCATAAAATCTCAACAACAGTCTCCTCAAGGCACTTTGTATTGTAAACTAAGACCCTACAACAGGGTAAACCCATAGAGAGAGAACAGCAACAATCAAATGACCCCTTTATGAGCAAGCACTTGGTGACAGTGGGAAGGAAAAAAAATTCCTTTTAACAGGATGAAATATCTGGCAGAACCAGGCTAAGGGAAGGGCAGCTATCCCCCCTCACCCGTTGGCAGGAGGAGCAAGATAGGACAGAAGACACACTTTGAACTCTATTAAATTTCTTAAATCTTAAGAGACTACATTACCCACCATGGTCAAAGGAGCTTGCAAAGAAAAGCGTCTGGACTTCTTTAAGTTGCCTTAACGCCCACTCACATCCTGGGCCATCTGACCTCAGGAATTCGCATGATAAGGTGGGGCCAGGTTTCACAATGAACACACCCGAAACTCTGGCGGATTGGGACCCACGCCCAGTTTCCCACCTTGGCTCAGGCGATTAGAGGATCATCAGGGGGTCCTTTTGTCCCTCTGTGGGGGGTCACTCCCACTAGGTTTATATCTGGGACTCTCCACCATTTGACATTAGAACTGAAGAAGCTTCTCGGATGAGAGGTGAAACGTCTTCAAGCAACTTAAAGAAGTCCAGACGCTTTTCTTTGCAAGCTCCTTTGACTACGATGACCTGGATGACTGAGAACCTTCACAGACATATTACCCACCATGCCTTTCATGTACGATTCAAAAGCGCTTAAAGACACTCTTTCACTCTCAGAGGTCTGAGTGTCGCTCTGATCGTCCAGGTCTTCATTGTCTGACTCAGGTGACTCCTGCTCAGGTGATGTGGCTAAATGAAGTTGAGCCAGTCTTTCTTCCAGACAGCTCGCTGTACCTGCAAACACAAATTACTAACCATCAGCAAACCCAACACTTCACTCTCAGCTACTTTAAAAGAGACATAGTTTGCTTATCTCCAACTTCATATTTGGATTCTTAGCAACTTTGAAGAGAGTAGCAAAGTCTGTGTTAATACATGTATAAATATTAAACTTTCCCTGCTAAAGTTAACAAATTTCCATATTTTTGCCACAATTCAAAATAATTATTTTTAATTTGATAGTGAGCCTTGGTTCTGCTTCAAGGTTCATCTACTCTCTGACAGAATTACATTTTAGTTCCTCTTCCTATAAGTGGCTCCAAGACAACATTCTCCTGATTGGCTGCCCTCAAAGGGTTGAAAAAACGGCCTTAAAATGAGCATTTAGATCAGTGAGAAGCTTAAGTCTCATATCGATTACTAACACACATGAACACCTCATTATTTAAAACACTCGACCTGTTTAACAGAAGTATTTATTTTGTAATAGTACATATGTATGTTAGAAAATAAGGGAAAGCATAATCAGCCCACCTTTTAAACTTTTCATATCAACACTAATTGAGAAGTCAATTTACAATTAATGTGATGTTGAAATTTAATACCTGCATTAAAAATGTACATCTTATATCAAGAAATTTAACTCTTTGAAAAATTGTTTTCATACAACATGTATTTATTTTTCTGAATATAAATTCAATAACCTTTTTTTAAATGTCCAAACTGGGATGTAATTTATTATTCAAAGCTGACCTTTTTATGGCTAAATGCCCAAAAACATGTAGCCCATTTCTGAGCGTCTGACCAAACAGCAAAAAAAACCAACCTCCTTACAGTAACAAGTATCATGACGTGCTGATTTAGAAGCTGGAAAACATTTACCCCTGTCCTGTCTGAGGTTTCCTTCCCACTCTGCACACGTGTTGCCATACATCATGGTCGAGCTAATGTTCACTCTGGAGTCAATAAACTTGATGTCTTTGTTGCTCGAAGACTCGTCTGGATCTTCACACTCCGCTTTTCCTCCGACGTCTTTCTTGACATTATTGAACCCATGAAGGTCGTGCACCTCTATTTCTTGTTTTTGCTTCTCGTTCAGCCGGAACATGTCTTCAGCCTGAACAGTGCGATGCTGTTCTTTTGGTGCTTTCTTTTCAGATGCCGCATGTAGATCGCACTCCTCCTCACCTGCCTGCTTTTTCTTCTGTTCCGAATGCACTTCTGTGATGTGGATGATTTCTCTACAGCACGCCACATTATCAAAAATCTTGCTGACCTCTAACACAGACAGTTCATTGAAGTCTGGCTTATGTGTAGGTTCAATAAAGTCGCCAAAGCTGCTGAGTGACCGACTGTCCTCTTCGTCCTCTCTCATCTCAGACAGACTATCCTGATCAAACTCTGTTATGGTGTGGTCATCTCTGTACTCTGCTCCCTCCTGCCCCTCTGGTTTGTAGGTCCCATAGCCAGAGGTCATCAGACTTGGTGCGAGACTATCTGGACTGCTACTACACCTTTCTTCTTCCTCCTCCTCATCGTTATTTGTCCTATCCAAACTTTCCTTGCTGAAGTTGCTCTGGTTGTTCAACCCACTCTTTACCTCCTCTGAAGCCCCCTGAAGTAAATCTTCTGTATCGGTGGCTGGTTTAGAGTGAATCATTCGCTCAATCTCATCCTCTTCTTCTTCTTTCTCCTCATCTCCATCAGACCAAAATGAGGAGGAAAGGGAATTCTTGTCATCTTCACTCTCTTCGTCTGACTGAGTGCTGCACATTTTGTACATGTTGAGTTTGCACTACAACTCAGGTGTATGGAGTGTGTGATCTGAGAAGGCACAGGACTTAAGGAAGTAGCTAAGAGGATTAGCTGAAGCCTCAAAAGCTTCTTCTCACTGGAACAGCGCCCACTGCTGCTGACCAAAAGGAATTACACTGCTGCATTTACTCTTTAATGCTGCTTGTTTCAATAGTTGTTTCTTATTGTGAGATAATGAAGGCCAGGGTTCAACTATAAACATGAAACTTCGGATAAAACTTGTTGTGATCCATAAATACAAACTGGATGTCTACAGCAGTACTCAGTCAATTTATTCTTTCATTTTCTTCTTGAAATTATTTCTGCACTTCAGTTTACCTATTTTTTTTTATTCTAATTTAGTTATAGTAAAGCTACCTAAAAAAAAAAATCCCAATTTGATTAATAGTACACAGTACAATTGTACATTACAGCTTTGTGAAAACATAAAATCGAACATTATTACTTATTATTTTAGAACAATAAACCTTAAAGCAGATGATCAGAAGATATTACAGATTTTTGTCCATTACTTTTTGTTACCTGAGTCTTCACTGTAGACTGATTCATCACAGACAAGTGACTGTCCTTTGTGTTTCCTGAGGGGCGGGAAGCATAATTAGAGTTGAAGACCTTCTCCATTTGGCACATCTGGAACAAGTCATATCTCCACAATAAGTTGACTTGTTCCAGATGTGCCACAAATTCCCTGTTAGTGTTAGCCAATGAAGAAATGATATAAAAAGAGAAGAATATGTCAATGATTAAAAAAACAATTTAAATTTGAATACCGACCTGCGATATAAATTGGAGATCGGTGTCAGAGATGATGAAAAACACGGGTTTTATTTCATATTTATTTAAAATCTTGGGCTAAACTGTAATAAAGTTTAAAGTTTAAATAAACTGTAAAAAAATAAAACAGACTAATCCAGACAGTAAGCACATAGGCCCATAAACCCATAGACTCTTTCACTCGTGAGCCATTAGTGGTTACAGAGCAGAATAACATGAAAAAAAACAAACAAAAATAAACAAACAAACTTGTTCTTTGGTAATCAGAACAAAATTGTATCCGGAAAGCTGTTTCCTAGAAATGCATGAAATTCTACTCTTTACGTGCTTTTTTTATTAATACAAAGAAAAATCCAGCTGCTGCTAGTTGGAAAGACAAATAAAACTAAAATTAACTCTGGACAAACAAATGAAAAAATTAGCACACGATTCGTAAAACTACCTCAGAACTTTTCTCTTGATGAAGTGTCTCCCCTGGGTGTCTGGGGTAGATGTGTAGCTATCTGTCAGTTGTGAGTGGATGGTATCCTCAAGATCCTGCTCCACCTGAAGCCTGCTTGGAGCACCTGGAGGGAGCTTGAGCTTCTGGGCCACCGAGTGTTGAGTGTACGAGTCATAGTCTCCGTTATAACAGTTGATGAGCGTCTGGGTGTGACATTACATGCTTTTAATTTATTGCACATGCCTGACACCATTACAATTAAGACTATGTTTGTTGTCCAATCAAAGTAGTGCTACTCATGACATGATTTTATGTGGCAACACATTAACAGCATTTGGCTCAATAGAGCAATGAATGCAAGAATAAATGAATATAATATAAAAACATATCTTGTATGTTATGAGTCATTAATGCTTACCTTTCTGGCATGGTCTGTACTGCCTGCATGTAGGAAGAATGATTCACTAGTGCCTTTAAAGCAGTGTGGACTAACTGTGGAGAAAAACAGAGCTCAAGTTAGATGTTATTAAGTGTTATAAAAGTGAAATACTCAAAATCACAAAGTGAGTGCTCTGACCCTTTTCTTTGGTATAGGCAGGGGGACTTGGCTGAGGTGTAGTTGCCTGAGATTTGGCATTTATCTCATTTGATGAGGAAAGGCCTTTCCACTCCCCTCGTCGAACCAGCTCATCCAGATCTAATCACAGAAATGACAGTTTCCCCTCAATATTTACTGATTAACATGTCTGCAATCATTTCCTGTAATGCCTGTCATTTTCACATCTATTTCTATTATTACACTCTACCAGAGTAGCTCTGCATGATTCACAGTTCAAAATAATCCCAGCCCCTCAGTTCATCTATAGTGTGAAACAACTGTTTAATTTCATCTCTCTTTAGGCTAACTTTCCTCTGATTAACTGCGCCTCAGAAACTGATGGTTTGAACAACACGTGTGCCCATACTAGAGTTGTGCTCCTGACATAACCACATAAGGGAAATCCATTATCTAAGACAAGTTACACCCCCTCCCCCAAAAAACAATTACTCAACTCTTTGAAACTCCTAAAGTCTGAGCTTTTTACTCGCAGAGATTACTTACTGAGCTCATTTTTTGAAACTTTGATTATGTTTAATATATGACAGAAAATTACTGAGCTCATTATTTGAAACTTTTATGTTTAATGTGAGTATATGACAGAAAATTAAGAAAAACAAGAGATCAATTCTTAGAATTAAAAATGTAAATAATCAGTGCACAATAAATATATTAAACTGCAAAACAATATGGCAATGTGAGTTGGGAGGTTTAAGAAGGGTTGGTAGATATATGTTTAACCTTGTTTAAATTCACGCAGCCTGTGCTTTGGTATGTTTTTGTAGCCAAGGAGGGCTAACTGTTCTTGAATTTCCTCCTCTGAGAAACGCAGATTGTCCATAATATTTCCAGCTTCCAGTCACTGATATGAAAACAGTCCTACATGAAAAAAAATCTAAATCAAACACAAAGACAAAACCAGATATGCAGGATGCAAGATGTTATGTCATAAACAAAATGTTCTTTTGATACATGTAAAGCTTTTCAAACACGTTTTACGCATGGGCTTTTATCACAGTGTTGGACAATGAGACACACTTTTGGTATGATTACTAGCGCAGTTGCAATTTTAACAAACAGTATCTGTAGATACTCTATAACAAATATCAAATAAACCAAGAGTAAATAAATAAGTCTAACATCTGCGTTGATTTCCTACTGTCCTAACAACAATTCAAAACTGATTTTACAACAGCTGTTAGCAAGCTTGACTAGCCGTTCCCAACCAGACATAAAGAGAAACGATGTTAACTAATTTTAACTTGTCCGTTCTCACCTTCACACAAGCCGGTTAGGTGTTAGCGTGAACCCATCCTGCTAATGTTACCGGTGTAGTTTATCGAAGTAGTAGTTGCGCTTTATTGTTTGTACAGAGTTAAACACTCAGCACCAAGACAACGGCCGTAAATAGCTTTGAAAATGACGCCTGCTAACGTCATTGACATAAACATCCGGTCTTTTTCTTCTTCGTTGTACTATTTAGCGATTGACGAGTCGACGCATTACCACCTCTAACTGGACTGGAAAAGTACAACGACGATAATAAATAGTTCTCACAAATCACATTAATCATCCTCCCAGATAGGAACGCCAGGGCACGGTGTGTGAGAGGAAAATGTTAAAGTTGCTTTAATAATATCTTAAAGTAAATGAGGAACTGATTTTGAGGTAGTATATTGCTGTAGTTTTTAGTTAAAATTGGATATTCAATCTAATTTATTAATGTTGATGTTTTCATCAAATATTAAGCAAAGACATTTGCACAACAGTAATATAATATACTAATATAATTGTAATATATTGAAAATTATTTCTTTAGATGATGTAATTAAAGAAACATGATGGATTGACATTAGAACTGAACATTTACCGTCCGTCCATTGAGCCATTTTCTTATGCTTATCTTTATGAGGGTTGCAGGGCTACCGGAGCATATCCCAAGTGCTATAGGGTGAGAGGCAGTTTCCTGCTTCCTGTACAGAATGTTAGTCTGTCGCAGGGCAAACACAGAGAGACAGACAGCCATATGCACTCACATGTACACCTATGGAGAAATTAGAATCGCCACTTAACCTAACCCCACTAATTAATGGTTAGTTAGTGGATTGAAATCTGAGACTTTCCATCTTAAATGCACATATTAAACAAATATGTAGGGCTGCTTTCTTCCATTTCAAGAGTCAAGATTGAAGATTCTTTATTTGTCACATGCATAGTTATACGAGAACAACACGTAGTGAAATGTGTCCTGAAAAGCTCCTTGACTGTGCAAAAAGAGAACTTAATAAACAGTAAGTGAATATGTACAAGGATGGCATTCAGTAAGTGAGTGAATTACATACAAATGCATTGAGTGTTTCTTCTTCAGTTACCTTTCTCACTCACTATGTCATAATACACCCTCTTAGCATTGAATCATACTTGTTATCAATCTCTGGCTCTCTTCCACAGCATGTCTTTATCCTGTCTTCCTTCTCTCACCCCAACCAGTTGCAGCAGATGGTCCCGCCCCTCCCTGAGCCTGGTTCTTCCAGAGGTTTCTTCCTGTTAAAAGGGAGTTTTCCCTTCCCACTGTTGTGCTTTCTCAAAGGGGGTCATATGATTGTTGAGTTTTTCTCTTTATATATTATTGTAGGGTCTACCTTACAATATAAAGTACTTTGATGTGACTGTTGTTGGCGCTGTATGAATAAAATTGAATTGAAAAATAAATCGAAGTACAATACAAATAAGTGGTGTAGTTGGGCACAAACATGTAAAGGCCCCCACCTCTATCATTTAAAGCTATACCACCATAGTTCATTTAGGGCTTCTGTTGGCAGAGGTGGACCTTGAGTTGATGTTGAAGGCCCCACAGAAGACTAAAAGGTAAACCTTGAGTTTCGAAATCTTTGGTATTAAAAGTGGAATGAAAGCATCTTACTTTACAGAATGCTGTTATGTTTTATGTAGCAATTTACTGATAAGAACCACAGTAATGTAACAGTTGTGTGTGTATTAAACATTCAGCTTAACCTTTACAAGTAAAGGGAAGTACGTCCCACCCTGTGTGTGCAGGGAACCCCTCCTCCTCCTCCGGCCGGCCTCAGCCTCTCAGAAATAATCAGGACTTTCTAACATCCTCCCCTTCCAACAGGCGGTGGGGTTTCAGTCAGGGGGGACGCTG